GGCTCGCACAGCTGCATCTAATTCTGGTGAAAAAATAGTGGAACAAAGAGAACAAAAAGCAGGAAACGAGTCCCAAGAAACCAAAGTCACTGCACAGGAAAACACTGAAAACAGAAGGTGAGAGATACTTGCATCTCAGTGCCATATTCCAATTTTGATAGAAATGCAAGTTCAAAATCTGTTCTATTTCTGAAGATGTTGGACTGGCCAAAGAAATATAACATGAATATTAAAGTTTAGCTCATAAGTTGTCACATTCGTAAATCCACTTGAAAAATGTGGGAGGGAATAATAAATGAGCTCAAACTATAATAAATAATATAATAAGTGGGTTCAAACTATAATTTTGGGGCTCTAAGCAACAATTTTTGCCTTGATACTACTTGTAATGACCTTTGATAAATGAAACCATGCTGCTGTGTCAGTTCCAAGTATAGGAAATACTGAAGTTTCAACAGCTCTAGAAAATGTCCAAGTCTCAAAGCTAAGGGTCTTATGTGAAAGAGTAAAAGCTTTTATTTTGGTGGCCTTTTAAAAGAGAAGGTCAATAAAAACCTGAATTGCCTGAGGAGCTCATCTTTTCCTAGCTCAGGCTCTAATCTGTCTTGTTCCTGGGAAGCAGATGTATTTCCTAACAATTGCAATCCTCATGAAATCTGCATAATTATGATCATGTTTCATTTAGGCTTCATTTAGCTGAGGAAGATGAAGGTAGTTATTACTCATTTGGACTGGCATTCTTTTTGTTAACCTTTACAGATGATGTTCCACAGCAAGTGGCAAGGAGAGCTGTGAGAAGGATGAGCTGAGCTGTGCTAATGAATGTGCTCTATTTTTAGATTGATGGGACTCTGTCAGAAAGGAAGAGAGCCATTATGCTTTGTCATTCTAAAACTAGAATGTTAATCTCCATATATAGATATATATATATATTTATATATATATGTATATCACAGTTTTTAATAAAAATGCTTGACTTAGTCTTGTCAGCATGTTCTCTGAGCACCCTGCAATGGGACAGAGGAGGCTGCTGTCCTGAGAGGTCTTCTGAGAAAATAAAAACCCAGTTAGGTGCTGCTCAGAAATGTTGCTTTGGGAGGATGTGGTTTTCCTATAATCTTCTTAACCAGACAATTTTTTGTGTGCCTGCTGTAGACCAAAGACAGGTTTCCAGATGTGGCTAGAAGAGAACAGAGCAAACATTTTGACAGATAATCCTGATCTGAACGAAGCAGAAGTAATAAAAGAAGGCATGAGTCGATTTAGAATGCTGACATCAGAGGAAAGGATGGTAAGAAAACATTCTCTAATTCTGTGGGTTTCATAATTTCTTTCCCTCCAGTGAATCCCTTGGTTATTTTCAGTTAGGAATTTTTTCTTGAAAATCCACTCTTGTCCATCTTTATGGATTTCAGTTTTGAATTGTGCCATGATCTATTACATATAATTTATGAAAATATAAACTGAATTATAAGCAATATCAGAAAGCAGCTTTTCCAATGTGAAGCTTGTGAGAGGAATGTAATCAATGAACAAATAACAAAAGGAATGACTTTGAAGTCACATAGCCAGGTTCCATTTACTGGGGATTAAATTTGTTCTAATTTAACTTGTTGGGCCTTTTGGGTTTCTCATTTCTCCAGAAAGACAATTAAGAACTTCAGTTTCATATCCAGTTTCAAAAGAAGTCCAGTTTTGAAGGAGAATGTTGTTAGAAGAAAGTGAGGAAATAGTTCCTTACTTAATCCCTGATAGTTCTTCATAGGAATTATTTCAGTACCTTAAAATCAGAGTAATAATGTGTATAAAACAAAGTAGTGAGTTTTGTGGCCTAATTTGTAGTTTTCTGTTCTCCTTCAAAGGTGTGGACTGAGAAAGCAAGAGGAGGAAGCGTTGGTGACTCAGCAGAAGACAAAAAGCGAAAGCGTCCCACAGCTGAGGAAGATGAAGAGAAAAAGAGCCAGGAGCAGAAATCCGAGGACACAAATGTATCCAAAAAATCCAAGCCTTTAGATCCATCCACAAACAACAGATTGTCATCTTTTGCCTTCAAGCAGAGCTAGATGAAGTGATGCCTTCTCAGTGTCTGTGTTCTGAAAGCATTCGTGGAAGAAATCCCTCTGTGTTGAGGAATTGGCTGCTGAGCTCGAGGAGCACTGGCAAAAAGAGTGCCTGGCTCCAAATAGTCTGTTAGAAAGTGTTTTATTATGAATTTTTGAAAGGAATGCTGAGTTCCCTCTCACAGTCTTTTACAAGTTCCTGCTCA